AAGAGAAGGGCTAGAACTTTAACTGCTTCCCGGTCACCTTTCACCCAGTTCTCCTGATTTTGGCTTGCTCCGTTCCAGAAATATCTAAGACTGCCAATTCCCTTTTCTTTTTTTAATTTTTAGTATTTTACCATGAAAGTAAGTCTGCTCTTAGCTTTCTCTGCGTTTCAACCTTCTTGGGACTGCTAAATCAATTACCAGTCATCCATCTGTTTTCCAGCTTCCAAAATTCTTTTTGCTATTGTCTCTTCTGTTTTCTCTGCCCTCATAAGTTTGTGTCTTCTTAAAAATCTCTGTATAGTAGTTTTAATGGGTTTCAGGAGAAAGCAAAAGGAGATGTGTGGATTCAATTCACCATCTTAACCCAGGAGGGGAAACCTCTGGCCGTGTTAGGAAGATATTTCCTCCTAGCATTCTCCTCTGTGAGCCCCTTTGGAATACAGGCCAGTGGGAAATTAAGGTAAAGGAGCCAGAGGCCCGTGATGGAACCTGTGTCTCTGGGTGGAGGATACTCTCCCCTACAGGGTTCAAGCTTCTTCCCCTAATCGTGGCCTTTGCTCGCCTCTGAGGGCACAAAGGGCTGAGTCCAGATTACGATCAAGTAGGTTGGAAGGGCAAAAAGCCAAGTCAAACCATGGAAGCCTGCCTAGAGGAGGTGCTGCAATATTAGGAGAAGCAAAAGATACTGGGTCTCATCTTTCTAATGAGTGCATCCCTTCTAGCTCTGCTGCTATGACTCTGTGAGGCCAGAAGTCATTCCAGAAAGACTGCTTTTTTGCCCTTTCCCTCTTTATTGTCCCTAGCTTTAGAATAAAGTGATGGTGGCAGAGAGCTATTTGTGTAGATTGGGTAGGTTGAAAAGAGGGAAGGAATAAACCACTACAGTTCCTTTTTCCTGAAATGTTTGTGGGCAGAGATATCATCTTACTTCACTTCCTCCTTCAAGGTCAGACCTAATCACCCAGAAAAGAGACACAATTGGGTGGGAGAACTTAGGAGGGGCAGGAATTTTGGTGATGATAGTGGTAGAGGCTGTATAATCAATAGTAGGAGGAGCTGAATGAGGCAGCTCACCTTGCTGCACAGATAAAACTTGAAAGTTTCCCAATGGTCCTCTAGAAGCAACTAGAAGTCAGTGAATAAATACCCCAGCCTCCTTCATCATCACCTGGGAGGAAAGTGTGAGGATGTTCCCACAATGTTTCTCAGGGGGTTCCCAAAAGGGTGGAATTTCAGGTGCCCATGGCAGTAACCTGCCCACTAGCACACCTTAGTATTGGCTTCTCTCCCTTCCATATCTTACTTTCCCATTTCTTGACTCCTGTTTCCTGGGATAACCTCCCGAATAAAATACCTGGATTTCAGCCCTTGTCTCAGGGTCTGCTTTGGGAGAATTCACTCTAAAACAGGTGTCCTCCGATTCAAAAGTGAGTAAGAGTAGCCTGCACCACCCCTGGGAAACTGTGCTTTCACTTCCTCTGTCTGCAGCTGGTCTTGGCTACAATGTGCTCGTGTGGGATCCTGAGTACATTTATATTTTCAGGAGCTCTGAGTTCTGTTTGGGTCACTGGGCCTGTGTGTGCCAAGAGGCAACATGGATTGTTGGCAGCTTGGAAAACAGAATGCTTGGCTACTGCTTCAGACAGAAAACATAGCTCAGCTCAAAGCTACCATGCACATAGGAACCTATACTTCCTCCCCCACTCCCATTGTTTCACAGTCATGCATTGAGAAGCAATTCCATCACTCCAAGGACAGGGCCATACCTCATCAACATGGGCTGTGGGAGAGGAGGGCCACTGGGATAAGTCTAGGAGAAGGAGGCCCAGCAGGAGATTTTTGGAAATCTTGGATAGAAGGGAACATAGAACCATTCCTCAGTCTCCTACAGAAATGTGAGACTCATCTGCTGACCCAGTCCAAGGGGTCAAAGCATTGAATGGCCAACCCTTGAAGGCATTATTCAGAGCTCTAGATTAACTAAGCAGTCAAATACTGGCCAATACAAGGGATGTTTTTCTGGGACCATTCCCACCATTCAACAGATACATAGGCTGCACCGGGTGGCGAGGACAGGCAGAGGAGTTGGGCTATAGACAACTTTGGAGTTCTAGCTGCTGTTTGAAAGACTGATTTTTGCCTTTATCAGTCAGGCGGTCATTCAAAAAAACTTGTATTGAGCACTCTCCAAGATGACTAAAACCAGTCTCTGGTCCTACTATAGTTACCATCAGAAAACTGCTATTAGAAAATTAGTCATAGACATTCTATTTAAAATTAGATGTTATCTCTTTTCCAGGAGGTAGAGGAGTCTTAAAGGACTTCTGACCATGTGAGTAGGGGCAGAGCTTTCTGAGAAATGGGCTGGGGATGATGAAAATGCTTTAAAGAAAGTATAGTATCAGGAGAATATGGGAGAAAACTGGGGGGAGGGGAGATAGAAAAAGGGACATCCTCTGAAGTCTTAAACTATGAGGTTTTCCCCTCCATCCATCCCCCATCATGTGGAACAAGGGAACATAATAGCTTCGAAAGCGACTACTTCAAGTCCCGGATGGCTGCTGTTTTGGGGTACCCACCTAAACTGCCTAGGCCTTCCTTAATACACCCACATCACACATCCCATACACATTTTGCCTAGAGAAGGCTGGGAATGTTGAGGTGGGTAGTAGTAGCTTCTGTATCACTAGGCAGATAGGACTAGCAAGTGAATCTCCAGCTAGAGATACCAGGAGACCAAAACCTCTGACTTCTACCCCTATAGGGGGGGTAAGGAACAATCCACTACTCAGGCAGGATCCTGTGGAAGCTGTGAGGCCCATTTCCTCCTGTCCAGCCTCAAGAGGAGACTTTCTCCTTGGCCCAAAGGGTACTTGGGCTAGCTGATGCCTCAATAAAATTTTCATAAGATGGGTCTCCCTGAAAATAGCAACTGAACACATCTTTACTCCTTACATCCTTGCAGTCTCTTTCTGTCTCTCTTTTTCTCCTCTCTGCCCTAATTTTTACAAGGATGAAAGACATGAAGCCAGAGTCAACCCACCCTCTACCCTACAGCCTGTTTGGACTAGCAAATTTCTAACCAAGCTCTGTAAACAAACAAAACATGTTTCCAAACACCGGTCAGGGGGAGGAAGCCACAAGGAGGGAGGAGAAAGAAATGGGAGCTCAGCATTTCTCTCCTCTGTGGAGCCCACTAGGGAACATCATCTATCCCAAAGATCATTGCATGACCACTGTGCACTAGTCACCTCCTTGCTGGGTCTTGAGGAAACATTGCTGCTACTGTTTAAAGGCTCACATTCTGGTAACAATGGAAAATATGTAAATGAGTAGGAAACCTAAGTGTGCCTGGTGCTGAGAGGAAAGTGAGTACAGGTAAAAATTCCAGAAGAAAGTCTGTCAATAGGAGGGAACAGGAAGGAAGATTTCATAAAAAAAAAATAAAGTGTCTTTTGAGTGTTCCTAGATAAGTGTTGCTTTCAAAATAAAGGGGACAGCTAGGATACAGACATTGAGGGTGAACACCATGGTGCTGCTCCTGCAATGGCTGGAAAATCAAAGTGACAAGTAGGGCAGGAAAAGAGAAAAGGACAGAAATATGGAAACATGTGCATATCATGTAAGTTGATTTGCATAAGCATGGACTGAAACTTCAGCAATAGCTCTGAAGAGAGGAGACCTGATTTAGACAGATTGAGAGGTATCAGCAAATTAGAGTTGAAAAGGTTCTCCTGCTCCAAATGAGAGCTAGGAGTGAAGGGAGAAAGGGGAAACCGATCCCGGGGTTCTTGGGTTGAGTGGCAGGGGAGATCGGCATTGACAGGGAGGCTTTAGAGGAAGAAGGGTCTCCCACACCTTTCCTTTTGCCATACGCTGCCTAGCACAAGCCTTTATCCATCTCTCACTTTGGGAACTGTGACAATTCGGTAACTTCTTAAGATGTTCATTGATTTTGTCTTTACTTACCCCTTCCTTTGACGGGGGAAGTAAAAGCAGAAGGAGATTGCTAGCAGGCAGTTTCCATGATGACTTTTCCTTCCGAACCTTAAGCCACTGAACTGTTTATGGTTCGTGTGAGGGAACCTGGAAGGTAGGAGAAGAAAGGAGAACCTCAGAGGGGGATATGGGGGCTAAGGGAAAGGGGGTAATCATTTCTGTAAGTCTTGAGCCACAATGCCCACGCATGCAGCTGAGGAGCCTCAGAAGGGATGGCTGTGAGGCCTGCAGCAGGCTCCCAGCATCACCAAAGACTTCTTCAGCCCAGGAATGGCAGAGCCAAGGATCTGGGAACTGGAGGTTGTCTCCACTGAAGACACTGCGCGAGTGACCTCCCTAGATCTTTGGAGTTGCGTTAGACAGGCCCTAGGCCTTGGAATTACAGAAGGGCTAAGCCCTGGACACTAACCAAGGTCAGTGTGTTGCCTGACCTGTGGGAACTGGGTGATGAGGGGACTAAGTCAGTTCAAATAAACAAAGGACACACTTCCCTCTACTATCTGGGCAAATTCTGGGCCTCACCTGTCACTGAGGTGCCAGCACTCAGCTGGGTGGACCTGTTGCAGGAGAGACAAATGGAGGAAGGAGACAGGATGCAAGTACCTCTATCAAACTAATGGGCACTCCTGTGTCCCCGGGTGCTGGCAGACTGGGTACTACGGAAAGAGATGTTGTTCCAAGGTTTCACTCTTAAAAATGTTTACAGGACATGTAAAAGTGCTAAGGATTAAGCGAGAGGGTCTATTCACCTCGGCTCTGCTCATAAGACTTCCCCAGCAGGAGGGGCGGGACCAGGACTTGGGGAGCACAGCGCCTGCGCATTGAAGACCCTGAAGCGTCCTAAGCGAGGTGGGCGGGGGATGCCAGGGCATCCGGGTCCCTCACCCCGCCCCACTGCATGAATGAGAGGCGCGGCGCCTGCCCCTCCCCCGCCGGGCCCGCCCCTCGCCCCTAGCCGCGGAGCGCAGTCCGTAGCGGCCACCTCAGCCACCTCAGCCGCACTTCGTTCCGGCAGACGCTCGCTGCCCACAGCTAGCCATTCGGCGCTGACTGTCCGCAAGGCTGCCGCTGCCGCCTGCTCTACCGAGTGAGTGACCGAGCGAGGGCCGGGATACCGAGGCCCATCGCCCCCCAGGTTCGGGCTTAGGGGACCTGGTAGGTCCGGGTCGAGATGCCGAGGAGACCGCGGGCCAGCGCCAGCCTCCCACACACTCACTCCGGGCTCCCCCTGCGGGGCCGGCGGGGAAGAGTGGGACAGCGGCCCCAGGCCAGGAGGGATGCGGAGGAGGGCTCGCCCTGGGGCCCGAGGGTGCAGGGGCTGGCGCTGAGAGTCGCAGCAGGGGAGGTTCGCGACCCCTTGCTCGCCCCGCTTGTGGGTGCCGGGCACCTGGCTCCGGGCGTGGGAGGCGGCTGGGATGTGTGGGAAGGCGAGGACGGGGACAGCTAAGACCGCTGCCTCGGTGTTGGTAGTGGGAACGCGCCTTGGGGGGTGCGGCGTGGCAGTGTTTTCCTGATCCCCATCTGTTCCTCCCCTTTCTTTGTGGCATTTGTCTCGTGCCCGTTTGTCACTGTACGGTGGCTGTGGTCTAGGGTGCGATCTCTCCACTGGGCTTACTCATTAATTAGAGTCAGGTGGTGGCCTCCAGCCTGTGGGTTGGGGGCGCGTGTGCGTCCACAGGCCAGAGAATTGAGGACCTTCCTTTGTTTCCAGAGACCTAATGGTGTGTGTGTGTGTGTGTGTGTGTGTGTGTGTGTGTGTGTGTGTGTGTGTGTGTGTCTCCTATGAAATGAATCAGATCATTAAAAAAGGGTCTGAGGAAAAAAGACATTATCATCAGACCTTCACCCAGTTCTGTCTCTGATGTCCTTTCAAACACCGTTTCAAACAAACATTTTTTGTTTGTTTCTTACTGTAAAAATCAGTGGGCTTCGTTAATTGAAAATGTATGTCTATGTTCCCATGTATCTGTACACTCAGAACACTTTGTTTTTGGGGTTTAGATAATAGTAAAATACTGCTGTGCATATACATGGGAATACTTCAGTACATATAGGACACTGTTTTCTGGGTTTAGTTCATTTATAATATACACCTACACTTGTGTATATGTCTATAGAAATACTCCAGTTTGTATCCAGGACACTTTTCCCAGCTGCTCAGTACAGGCAGATTTTGTTTCTTCCTGCCCCTGAGTTAAGAAGGAGGTCCAGCAGGTTCTGTCCACCTCCTTCCCCCCTCCCCCCAATGCTTTGGCACAGGGTTTTTATTGCATATTATCTTGGCATGTGCCCTTGCTTTGATCTGAATTTTCCTGTGTTCTGTTGTCTGGTTGTGCAGCCCAGCTCGATGGCTCCTCTTACAGGACTACTGGAAAACAGAACACCTTTTATCGCAGTCCGCATCCCCAGAGAGAAAAGGGAACTCTGCAGGTTCCCAGACTTTCACTTGCTCAGTGAGACTGACTGCCTGACTTTGCTCCTAAAATGAAGAAGACCAAGAGTTACAAGTTGATGTAGACCAGTTAAAAAGAAGCAATTGTAGTAGCATGAACTATTCCTTGCTATTTCTTTTGGACCTTTTTCTCTTTCTAAATCAGATTTTATAAGCTTTAGAAGATAGTTTATTGCATTACTAGTTTATAATTTTTATAATTCCATTTTACCCTTATAAATTCACAGAGTGATGGGAAATTGGCTGAAGTTGGTCATAAGAAACACACCTCGAAAATATTTTAATTATTATCTTTTGATATAAAATACTGGTAAAAAATTAGGAGGACTTATTGAATGATATGAAAAATTGAATTGGTTCAATGTTAAGATTCTCTTTAAGATTCTTTTTAGTCACGTGTATTTTAATTCCTTTTAGTTTTTATTGCAAAATAATATTTAAACTAAGCAGTTTTCCACAACATTGTTTATGTATATTCCCTTTATTAAAAACATTTGCTTTTAATTTGAAGGGGAAATTTTCCATCAGTTGTCTTGGGATCTGTCATTCTTGATAAAAAAAAAAATTCTTACCTTATGGTCAGGTTTTTTTGTAGAAGTTAAAATTAGTAAAAGTTGACTTTTCAGTTTGGGGAAGTTTTGGTTTTATGATGTAGAATTTAAATAAATTTTAATATCCTTGAATTTCACTAAAAATAAGTTGACTTTAAAAACAAGAGCGTCATTAACTTCCTTAACTAGTATCACTAATGTTGAAGCAACCCCAATAATTTTATAAACTGCCCACATCTGATTATTTTTTTAGGAATCTCCTTAAAATAAACCATAAGGGGAAGTCTTAGATAAACAAAGTAGTATAACCGGAATTATTGCTGAAATAGGCTTGCATAGTACCACAATACTGTGGAACTTTAATTTTGCAAGAGTGACTTAGCTATTGTTTGAATCAACAAAGGAACCTAAAAACATCCTGGCCTTGTTCAGCACTCGGTTAACCAAAATCTTTACCAACCCATAGCATGGCATTTCCTGTAGCATGATGATTAAAGAAAGAATTCTAAAGTAATTTCTAGATCATCAAAATAAATTAAATTATGTTAAATGCTGTTTTAGTAGTAAATATATTAATTAGAAATACTAATATTGTTATGTTAGTGATGGTAATAGCAGGTATGGTAACAGTTACTCAAAACTGGAATACATTATCCCCCCAACAATAGCTGATAATAAAAAGTAGAATGCTCAACAGAAACTTTTTTCTGTTGAGCATTTTCTATCAATGATTGTTTTCATTGTTATAATGTATCTTAAACTATATGAAACTGCCATTTTTTTAGATTGGGGAGTAGTAAACAAATCAACAATTTTTTTTAAATTTTATTTATCTTTAGAGGGGAAGGGAAGTAGAGAGGGAGAGAAGTATCAGTGTATGGTTACCTCTCATGTGTCCCCTGCTGGGAACTGGCCTGCAGCCCAGGCATGTGCCCTGACTGGGAATTGAACTGAGACCCTTTGGTTCACAGGCCTGTGCTCAATCCACTGAGCTACACCAGCCAAGGCTAAAATAAACAATTTCATATGGTTCAGTCACTTTCAACTTTCAGCAGTTCCTTCTGTTATTTACCTTTATTTCATTTTTAATATTTAAACTGTTATTTCTTGATTTTTCACCTTTGGATATTTGGATATTACCTATAGATTTCTGTTTTGGAAGTCAGGACTTAGCTATCCCATACAGCCATCCTTCTGTTCTCTGCTCACACATAAACTTTACAGTTCCCAGTTAATCCGTTTTCAGTATTTATTTGACTGTGACGATGTACCCGTTATTCACAGATGAGCTATGTAAAGTGTTAATATTACATTTTCTTTCTTGTTCAACTTTTCTTTCTCCTGAATTAAATATTCACCTCTTTTCTTTATTTTTCATTTGCTTAGTTTTCTTTGTACCAGTCACTAATTCATCCTCAAATTCTATGACAGAACTAATAATCTTTCAATATTTTCAAATAATTGTTTCATTTCTTTTTTCTAGCTGTCATCTAGGGTTTCCTTTTGTTATCATCTTGGGAATTCCCTTTGCCTTCTTCCTGTGTTAAATCCTTTTTTTTTTCCTGGATCCTGTGTCTTCCTCACTCATTCTTTAGTAGCTCCCTGAGAAAGGGCACATACAGACTGTGAAATTCTTCCTAAATTCACAAGTTGCGTGGTTTAACTGGATATTGAATTCTAGATTGAAAATTAGTGTCCCTCTTTTGAAAGTGTTGTTCCATTAGCTTTCAGAATTGCTCTTTAGAAGTCTATTGCTATCTTAATCTCCACATCCTTTTTCCTCCCACCCTAGAAAAAGGTTTGGGTAAACCTTTTGTTTGTGTCTGGTGTCCCTGACATTTCATGATGTTTCACGAAACATCTTTTTTTGTGTGCTCATAGAACATACAACATTTTCTCTAAGTGACTATTCGGTATATATGTCCACGCAGACACACGCACCCCATCTCACTCAAAATGCTATTCTTTATGGTGTTGATATGCCTCCCTCAAGAAGCGGGGTCTTTGTTTTCCCTCCTTGAACCTGTGAAGATATGATTTCTCCCCAGAATGTTGGGTCATAAGGCAAAATCATGACTTAGGAGCACAGCTGAAGGATCAAGAGCATGCATCTCAGAGGGCGGGTATTTTTTATTTTTTACTTTTAAATGGGATCTTCACTGGCAATGTCAGTTGGCATCAAAGAAAATTTCTTCAAGCATTGAAATGCAATAATCACCTTAGTAATCAACCCAAAGGCTACCAGGTGCATTTTTCAAAATCCACCGTAGGCAGTGACAGAACTGTCCGTGACCAATAAAGAAACACTCTTTAAGCTCCATGATTAAATAATGTTGTGACTAAATACGACAAATATACTATTTGCAAGATTTTCTGTGATGAGAAGATGGAGACAAATGAAACTGTGTAGACCACAGCTTGAATGGACATTGTCAGTGATTTTGTGTTTTTCTTATAGATACATATCTTTTTAAAATATTTTTTACCCATGAATTTTTTTCTACTTACAGCTGCCTTATCCCTCATCTAGCTTTTTCATGAGTGCACATGAGTGAATATTACTGGAGAACTTGAGAATCATGATTAAAAATCTGAAGTGAGCTCTCAGCACTGCCCAGGAAAAAAGATACGAGATTCCTAATAAGATCTCTTGCCTATAACTATTTAGTAATTTCTCCCCACTCTTTTTGCTTATGAGTGGCCCACCCCCTCCCGTACTGATAAGCAGGCTTTATGCTTCATTGAGGGTTTAGAAGTTATCACACAGATACCCCTCTTCTTCCCCTCACTAAATCTAGAAATTTACCTTCCTTAGTACTCATGTTTTCTGTTATTTTCCTATGAAAAGCCAACTTCTCTCCCACCATATTCCTCCCACATATCTACTTTAGGATTTGACTCTTGCATTTGTACCCTCTCTTTCATTAGCAATTCTCCAGGGTACCATCCCTGTGAACATACACACGTTCTTATATTGCCCATCTTTGAAAACGGAAGAAAAAATTGTAACTTTTTCCAGATTTCCCATCTATCCCCTTCTTGGGGATGGTTATATGTCTCAAAAGAAAAGTCTGTATTTCCCCC